CTTACTAAAGCCCAAAGGAAGGCATACTATGATGAACTAGAATATAGGGAAAAACTTTTCATGAAGAAGCAGCTGAAGGAAGATAAAAAGCGGCGGAAGATGATGAAGAAAATGCAAGAAGCAGCTAAAGATTTTTCTCCAGACTTAGGTGAAAATGCGGAAGAAGAGACCAATGGTTCTGCATCTGTGCCAGTTCCTATGCAAGACATGACCCTACCTGCTTCCTTTGATTCTGATAATCCAACTCATCGATATCGTTATCTCGACTCCTCTAGCCCATGGCTTGTGAGACCTGTCTTAGAACCTAATGGTTGGGATCATGACATTGGTTATGAGGGACTAAATGTAGAAAGATTATTTGTGGTTAAAGATAAGGTACCGATATCTTTTTCTGGCCATGTTTCAAAAGATAAAAAGGATGCCAACCTTCAAATGGAAATAGCAAGTTCAGTGAAGCATGGGAATGGGAAAGCAACTTCTGTAGGTTTTGATATGCAATCAGTTGGAAAAGACATTGCTTATACTCTTCGAAGTGAGACGAGATTTAGCAATCACAGACTAAATAAGGCCATTGCTGGTCTTTCGGCTACTCTTTTGGGTGATGTATTAACTGGTGGAATGAAATTAGAGGACAAATTGATTGTTGGTAAACGAGGTCAGTTGGTTGTTTCTGGAGGAGCCATTTTTGGTCGTGGGGATGTTGCTTATGGTGGTAGTCTGGAAGCTACATTGAGGGACAAAGATCATCCTTTAGGACGTTTCTTATCAACTTTGGGGCTCTCAGTCATGGATTGGCATGGAGATCTTGCTATTGGATGCAACTCACAGACTCAGATCCCTATCGGACGACATACAAATTTGATTGGCCGTGTCAATATAAATAACAGGGGGTCTGGACAAGTTAGTATTCGTATAAACAGCACCGAACAGCTTCAGATAGCCTTGATCAGCTTAATTCCTCTGGCTAAAAAGTTGCTTGGTTATTCTCAGCCCATGCAGTATGCATAATGATGAAATTTGAGTCATCCATGATGTGGCTGCTGTTGGATCGATCGAGTTTATTTTTAAGTGCCCATCCTTTGTGAATTTGCAATAAACATAGGTATCGATGTTCATTCTTCTTTCCAATCGTAATGCTGAATTTTTCATGTTATTATTATTAGTATCTTTTTTGACGTTGTCCATGAGTCAATCTTGAAGCACTTCTTGTCTTGTAGATTGGTAATCCTTTAGACTGATTGACATGAAGTCCATCTTTTCCTTTTTAATGCTGCCCACTGAAGAATTTATGATGTTTGTAACTCCTCCCAAGAGAACAATTCGAAGGAATTGATCAAATGATACTAATAACAACAGATTTTTTATCTTATACATTTATGATAAGGGACATCACTTCATCCTCAATGCTGCTTGCTTACGTCAATAGCCTGATAAGGTTGTTTTTTTTTTGTTTTTTTTTTTAATGTCATCAAATCATTGAAGCAAGAGATTTCAGGAAGAATAAACCTGGTACTTGTACCTGACAACTAGAATTTTCGATACCTCTATCTTGCTTTCACATTGATATCCCAAAGTACTTGTTACTGGTTATCTCCAAACATTGGATAGTTTAGATTTCACTTTATTTGCATTTTCTTGCGGATCATAAATTGCTATTTTGTGTCTCTGTCATTCTTTTTCCATTTCACTGTCCAAACTTTATATCTCTTATTTGCTTGTTTTGCCTTTATCTTGATGATTCCCTATCGATTCTATCTATGCAGATGCTTCCTCGGTCCAATAGGTGGGTAGAAGATAGAAAAATACTGTCAATTAGAAGCTTGTCTGTAGAAGTCACAAGGCCTCACTTCGAAGATCTTGGTTTTATTGTTTTTGTTTACTAAATGGAGCATGTAAATTATTACTTATTATTATCAAGTAAAGTTCTTGGACGAGTTTTGGAGGATGAGATTTTTAGTGCCACAGCTGAACTGAGTTAGATGGGTTTCTTGCATTTGTTGATTATATTGTATATTGATTCTGGCATGTATAAGCTGTTGTGCAACTCGGGTTTTACGCACAGCAAAACATGCTCTTTATTTTATGTGGTTGTTTTGGAACCGTTCAATTTTCTAAGTTGTATGTTCCCTACAGTCACTGAGACAGCTTAAAAGTCTTTTAGTTGCTTATTTGATAAATAAGCTGATATTTCTATTCATAGTAGGGGTAAA